CACCCCCCCCCCTTCTCCCTGCCTTCCATTAGAATTTTGTCGAATCCCTCCACTGCAAAGAGCCAGCTGCGGAATTTGTTTTGCTTTTAGGTGTGTTTGGTTGTCTTGTATATCTGAACATCGATCTTGATCCCATATCGATGACGACCTTGCTTATGGCTATTGGATTCTCAGTCGATTTTGTCGCTCATATTACGTGGCACTATTACAAAGGAGATTTTCCGGTAATTCTTCTAGCATTTTCGAAGGACAACAAATATGCAAGCTGTCATTGCAGAACAAGCGAGAACGCATTCGTCACGCTTTGGCCTCCATTGCCTGGCCAATGTTTCAGTCAGGCACTTCTACTATGATCTCTATTGTTGTACTCACTGCAGTTCATGCATATATGGTGAAAGTTTTTGTTAAGGTACGTATAGACATCATATGGATGTGCTCATTCCAGCATTATTTTTTATTGTCACACCGCCTTTGACAGCCGGTAACAGAGAATAACCAGAATAGTTAGTGAAACGGCTTGAAAACAAGAAAAAGTTAAAAGACAGGCCTTGTAAGACTAATTGCCCGCGCCATGCCTTGAACACCGGCGTAGGCGAGCGGTCTCGCGAGGCTTTATAGGCGGTTACAGCGAATTTTCCAATCAACATCCATGTTGATTCTAGCGTTTTCATCTTACAGGTAGTCGTGCTCGTCGTCTTCCTAGGAATGTGCCACGGTCTCATTGTTTTGCCAGTAGTCTTCGCAGCTCTTCCTTTCAACAAAGCGACCGTACCAAAAGAGAAGGCACACCCATTGTCTACAGTCGTGCCTAAGCACGCGGTTACGCGACAAGCTGGCCAAGCTTAAATGTTATGCGATTGTAACGATTAATACTAGAAGATACGCCAGTTTAGGATGTTTTTTCTTACGTTCTAGACCTGACTGTGATTGTGTTAGTTATTCACAATTGCTTCCACGTAATTTATTTTGTCTTGCTCCTATTCCTTAACGGGTCATTAATTTATCGTGCTATAGTTCTGTTTTCGCTAATGCCCTGTTTGCATTGTATGTACTTATTGTCGCTCATGATACATTTTCTAAACCAACCAGCAAGTGGGAAACTCATCTGCAATATGAGCGGTTGGCTGCTTGCATAAACTGACAGTTAATCAATTACCTTGTTTGAAAACATTCTTCTACTTGCATCCATATATATTGGTGTAGTGCGTTCTTGTAAGGTACAAAGAATGAACGTAGAGGCCCGTAGTAAACCCCTGCTCAGCGCAACTCGGCTGGGGGCGGGTCTACGGTGAAAGTAGAACTGCTTCATTTTTTCAGCTTCCAAAGATGGAGCCTTAGAGGCGAAAGGAAATATTTTCGACATTCGCTCCCATTTCATCACGAAAAGTCGCGTTTATAGATTTATGACAGATTATGCATTGGCGTTAGCACATCAGTTTGAGACTATGGGTTGCTCGGGAGTGCAATGAATTTCATGACCGCTCTGGGCGCGAGATTTCCTCACCCAAGCCATCATCTCGCACATAAGTGATGTGACTGTCAACACATTAAAACCCGCTGTAACTAAGAGCT